ATAGCTGGGCGTTGTGGCAGGCCCCTGTAGTCCCAGCTACTCGGGAGGCTGAGGCAAGAGAATTCCCTAAGCCCAGGAGTTGGAGGTTGCTGTGAGCTGAGATGCTACAGCACTCTACTGAGGGTAATAAAGTGAGACTCTGTCTTTAAAAAAAAAAGAGAGAGAGAGAGATAGACCCTAGTAATATAAAAACCTTACCTTAGACGCACTTAAGAAATCTAAATGAAACTAGAGGGATGTATATATATGTTTTTTTCATATATGTTGTGGCTTTGAAATTTTTGTTATAAAACAAATCTCAATTGATAGGCTTTTTTAGAGGTTATAAATTTCATCAAATTAAGACATTTTAGATAACTTGGCTGGGTACAGTGACCATGCCTGTAATGCCCGACGCTTTGGGAGGCCAAGATGGGAGGATCGCTTGAGGCCAGGATCATCCTCATGCCTCAGGAGTTCAGACTGCTCTGAATAAGAGTGAGATCACATCTCTATAAAAAATAGAGTAATTAACCAGGCATAGTGGCTTGGACCTGTCCCAGCTACTTGGCAGGCAGAGGCAGGAGGATTATTTGAGCCCAGGAGTTTGAAGTTGCAATGAACTATGATGACACCACTGCACTCTAGCCTAGGCCACAGAACAAGACCCTGTCTCGAAAAAAAAATAAAATAAAACTCTCAACTAAAATATTTGTTGTCAGTTAAAAGATATACTTGGTGCCTTCGTGAGTGGTGGAGGGAGGAAAGTAAATCTTTCCATTTATTATCAGTAAAGAGTGGCTATCAAATACTTTCCTATTTTTTCTGTACCTTAAAAATAGTACTTACTATTGGTATTTTTCTGAAGCTGTTTTGACACTATCTTTAGTCACTAAAAGGCTAAAGAGGTTTTTTGTTTGTTTGTTTTTAGATAGAGTCTCACTTTGTTGCCCTGGGTAGAGTGCCCTATAGATCAGAGCAACCTCAAACTCTTGGGCTCAAGCAATTCTCTTACCTCAGCCTCCCAAGTAGCTGAGATTACAGGCACCCACCACAACGCTCGGCTGTTTTTAGAGACGAGGTTTCACTCTTGCTGAGGCTCATCTTGAACTCCTGAGCTTAGGCAATCCATCCACCTTGGCCTCCCAGAGTGATAGGATTACCAGTGTGAGCCACGGGTGCTGGGCCTAAGACTATTTTCTATTCAGAGTGAGCATAGCTTGCTCTTTGATCTGTGTGTAACCATTGATTATTAACAGTCTAGAGGTAAACCTCAGACAAGTTCTGTCTCTTAGCAATTATTTATGTATTATTTATTTTTGAGACAGCCTCAAGCTGTCATCCTGGGTAGGTGCTGTGGCGTCACAGCTCACAGCAACCTCCA